GTATTTCATTTAATGTTTTATATTTATTGTTGCTGCATTATATTTTTAATGAAAAATAAAACTAAAGCAATAAAACAATAACAAGGGCCAACAATTTATAACTTTCTATGCAGGTTTTTATTTACAATTGGCATGACAAATTATTTATACATTTAATCAGATTTATACTATAGATAATAAATTAATGAAAAATCCAAATTCCAAACTATTTTGTCTTTCCTCACATTGATTAATTAACCATTAAAAATTAATTGTAAGTTTTCTTTTGGACGACTACGGTGTGATGAACTTGTAGTCTGTTCGTTGTCAGATCGTCCTGGTCCGTCTAGCCATGCTGGTTAGGCCAGACGCGTTTTGGCATAAATTTCGTGGTAGTTTTCTTCTATTTGCCGACCATCATATAATGTAAGAAGTAGAACAATATGAAACCACTTGATAATAGGGTTTTATTGATTAGTGAAAAAAAAAACATTTCAAAGGTTCCAACTGGTTTTCAAAAAATCCGTACCGACGCAGTACATCCTTCGCTAATATTTCACCAAAATTTTGTTCAAAAACTTGTCTTTTCCTCTCGACAATGTATAGCATTAACGAGTTTCAATTATCCCAAGCTTTCATAACTCGGCATTCCTCCGCACCACTGGGATATTACACCAAATGCAAATTATTACACGGCTCGTTAGGCCGGATATTTTACAATGCAACGCAGGATCATTTTTGCCGGAGAGGTCTAATTTTAAGGGTTGTGCACATGACGGCCCGGTCCGATCATTCATCATCTAGCCCCGCATTAATTAATTACCTTCTATGCTTCAAACTAATAACTTTCCTTGGTGAAAATCGCCCATCGGAATCGCTGTGCGGTTAAATGTTGCATAAAACAATTCTAAACCTCGGGAAAAAGTGAATTATCTTCAATTTTATTACAAGTAAAGAAATCTGCAATCGAGAAAGAGTATAGAAAAGAGAATCGAGTTCATTGAAGTTTTTATTTGAAAGTGTTTTGATAAACAAATTTATGACTATATCATTTTAGATCTTACAAGACGTGAATTATCATCATATATCATTACGTCCTGGACATTGAAAACAGGACCAAACAGCTTACAACTGTTTATTAGATATATTTATTTTATAGACATTTAAATTATTTCCTGGTATTTTTTTATTATGACCAACCACAGAGATTCGCTATATTTGTCATATCTCTTTTTTATAATATCTTTTTTTATAATTCATCATCTTGATCTATTTTTTATAATATCTTTCGTTTTCTTTTTCATATCGCATTTCATTTTTACTCACACTATCTGCTTCTTCCATTTTGTCTTTTTGTCTTTTCTTTATGTTTGATTCAGTTTTTTCTGTTTTCTCTCTTTTTTCCCTTATACGATATGATGGTTTTATTAAGCATTTGTGAGATGGAAATATCTCTCTCCTCTCTCTCTCTCTCACTCTCACTATCACTCTCACTCATAGTCTTTATCATGTCTTTTCTCTTCTCTTCTCTCTCTATCTTTTTTCTCCTCCTATATACCTCTATCATTTCTCATTTCCTCTCTCTCTCTCTCTCTCTCTCTCTCTCTCTCTCTCTCTCTCTCCACATATCTATCTATCTATCTATCTATCTATCTATCTATCTATCTCTCTCCCTCTCTCTCCCTCTCTCTCTCTCTCTCTCTCTCTCTCTCTCCCTCTCTCTCTCTCTCTCTCTCTCTCTCTCTCTCTCTCTCTCTCTCTCTCTCTCTATCTCTCTCTCTCTCTCTCTCTCTCTCTCTCTCTCTCTCTCTCTCTCTCTCTCTCTCTCTCTCTCTCTCTCTCTCCATCTATCTATCTATCTATCTATCTATCTCTTTCTCTATCTCTATCTCTCTCTCTCTCCCTCGCTTTCTCTTTCTCTCTCACTCTCACTCTTTACCTATCTTTCCTTATCATGTCTTTTCTCTTCTCTCTCTATCTTTTTTCTCCTCCTACTACCTCTATCTTTTCTCACTTCCTCCCTCTCTCTCTCTCTCTCTCTCTCTCTCATTAATCACTTCTTCTTTTCTCTCTCTCTCTCTCTCTCTCTCTCTCTCTCTACCTCTATCATTTATCACTTCTTCTTTTCTCTCTCTCTCTCTCTCTACCTCTATCATTTATCACTTCTTCTTTTCTCTCTCTCTCTCTCTCTCTCTCTCTCTCTCTCTCTCTCTCTCTCTCTATCTATCTATCTATCTATCTATCTATCTATCTATTTATCTATCTATCTATCTATCTATGTACCTATCTATCTATTTATCTAAAGTCTAAATAAGAGGTGCCCTAACCGTAACTATAAGGCATCGAGGTGTAATTCGAAATACTGGGTATATCAAAAACTTCAGTAACTATTTCTCAGTTAAACGTGCTAAGCTGTTTTTTATATTGCCAACAGATACAAAAAAAATATATACTTACTACAAGTATATACTATATACATAACCAAAAGTATTAAACACAAACTTAAAAATCATCTGATATTTATAAATAATAAATAAAATAAAATTAAGTACTATAAAATAGCCGACAAACTCTTTTGTCTATTATGAAATTATTGATGTACAAATTATATTTTACTAATAACAAATCCTTTACTTAATCTGTCCGCAGTGTGTCAAAAATAAAAATAAATTTGTTTTTATATCAAATCTCTATATTCAGTAAAGTGCTATGCGCGAAAAATTATTATAATGTTTAAATATTGATTGACTATCTCTACCAATGTAATTATATATATTTGTCTATCTATGATATCTATCTAGCTATCCTTGTAGCATCTATATTGCTTGTCTTTCTTTCAGTTCTGTTCGGCTTCTCCGTTTCTTCTTACAACCTGTTTTGTTGCAATACTACATCTTAACTCAGATAGAAAGCTCTTTTCATCTCCAGCTCACATTCTTTTCCACCGTTCATATTATCTCTCTTTCTATAAAACTTGACTTTCTTTAACAGCTCTTCTCCCTCACTCCAAATAGCAAATTGTAATAGCAATTTCTTCTTTGAATTCTAATTCATAATATTACATATACATAAATACATTTATACATATGCTTGATATGATTATAAATAAATATAAAAAAATACAGAAAATATTTTCATGCTGTTTGGATCTAGCAACATTGTTGTGTTTTTTTATGACAAAATTAACCAATTTCGGCTCTAGGCTGTTTTACATTATATTTAACATCACGATTAGAGTAAATTAACAATAAAAAATTGAATTAGAGTAAAAACAACAACAAACAGATAAACAATATTTATACAAGAAATTTCAAAGTTGTTAGTTCTAATTATTATAATCGATTTTCTGTTAAAAGCAATCTGAAAATTGAATCAGGATCACGATGAAAAGGCGTGGGTTTTAGAAAAAGGAATAAGACCAAGGTCGTTCTGCAACTAGAGCAGATGAAGTGAACACGATGAACGCACACATGATACTATTATCGTCAAAAAGTCATTAAAATATACAAAATAAATATTCTTAAAAAATATTATTTATATTGTCACGGTTTAAATGTGTGGAGAAATAATAGGTGCGTAGCTTTTCACGAAATTTGGTGTTTTTTAATGCGTTTTATTATATAATAACAAGGATTTTTTATCCTATACACAACTTGATATACATAAAGTTTCTGCAAAAGACCTCAAAATTCTGTTTAAAATATTTTTCCAAAAGAGAAATTGTTTGTTTGTTTATTTTTATCCTTACGTGCCGTTCAATGCGTTGCTTATACAACTTAACCAAGTTTTTTAATAAGCTGAACTTCTAATGGATAGACGTTAAAGTCAACCGGTTGTGCCATCTTCTCATTTCTCATCTCGTTTATTGGAAAAAAAAAAAGCTTCAGCTTCCAAACGGCTTTAAAAATTGCGTAACACCCTTCAACCTCGTGCTTAGAAGCAGATGTGTATTGCCTCAACTTTCTCTAAAACGCTAAGCAGCCGGTTAGAGCTTTGGACCAGAAAGTTTTGACAACCTGGTCATTTGCTCACGCCTATTGGCTCCCCTTTTAAACCTAAGCATTAGTTCATTAAATCACAATTTACAAGAATTTGTAAAAGATTTATATTTAACGAATCCAATAAACAATACAGTTTTTTAATTTAAGTTTTAAAACTACGTGTAAAAGTATGACACAAAGAATTGTTGAAATTGGGATTAATTGATTTTAGTACATGTAACTTCATTCAAAATTCATAAATGTCTGTAAAATCTAAGAATTGTTTAACACGTTAAGTATATACATTTTTATTTTCTATTGCAATTGTGAAGGTTTAAAAAATAAAAGCCTAACAACACCAAGACATTTTCATAAAAATTAGTAAATCGTATATTGTAGTTTAGCCATTTTTTTAAATATATACTTGTTACCGTATAAGTTAGATTAATTAAGCTTTTAGTACAGGTGACTTGACTGTATCTTTAAAACTACATGATTTTGCAGTATTGGCAGAAAATCACAAAAATTTCGAGAAAAGGAAAATTACAAAGGTCTTCAAATTTATTTGAAATTGGAAAAATGTTTATTGAACAATTGATATTATTAAATTTAAAATACTAGTACAAAATATTTAAAAAAATAAGATATACGCCATTTAGACATATTTTCGCCTTCTAATTTTTAGAAAATTATATATGACTTTTTAGTATAAATGACCTCTGGATCATTAAAACGTCAAAATTTTGAAGCATTGGGAATAGGTCATTTATATCATGACAAATTATGACCTATTGTTTTTGTCTTGTGCGAGTGAAAAGGGAAATTGCAACAAAAAAAAGTCTTAAGCATGGATGCTGAGGAAAAGATCAGATATCTTGGTTTATTTGTTTAATAGACTAATCACCACGTAATCCTGTCGAAGGACACGCGGAATCGCAATTCTGGGAAAAATGAGCAACAAATGTTTAACGGGCCCTGTCCAATTAATCGAGGAGAACAAAGAAGGAACAGGAGAGCCCCCACCCGCCCCAGGTTTTCCAGCTCGTAGACTGAAAGAGAGGGGTATCGATATATAGGGGTTCCCGCAGGCCCTTGGCTTAGTTTTGTGTGTCGTGTGAGACTTCATTCTCTATCCCCATAACTCACCGGTAAGTGATTATGAAGAGACTGACCGAGCGATTTCATTTTGCCCAATGTAGCTGTGGAAAATGACAAATTGAAAAATATTCGCCCATTTCTAAAAGATATTTCACGCGCACCCTGTCTTAAAACGAATCTCATATTTCATACGGGCTTAAATCGTAATACATTTTTTCCTCTTAAATCGAACTCACTTCCGAAGGTTATTCTTTATTATTATTGTATATTGTACTTGATCATTTACAATTTCGCTTAATAAACTGTCAAGTTCGGTTGCAAATGAGTAAGTATGCAAAATAAACAAAAAACGTGTAATTTTTTAAAACAAAATCGTTTGTACGAGGTACATATATCGCTATGAGCTGTAAAATTGAAATTTTCCTTTAAGAAAAAGCACATTCTTCATAAACATAGCAGCTGACAGACAGAAAGATAGGTAATATATATACATAAATCAAAGGGACAAACGTAAAGATAGCAAGTGAAAGAGAAAGAAAGCAAGTACAAAAAATGAGAAAGTGAGAGAGAGAAAAAGAGTAGCAAAAGCAAAGAGAGAGGGGAAAGGAAAAATTGACAAACCGACCGAAAAGAGAAGAAGAGTGAGACAAAGTTAGTTCTCAGTTAAAAAATAGTTTTAAATTATAATTACACCACACATTTATTTTCACTTATTTAGAAAACTTTTGAATAAATGACTTTTTGAATAATTTTTATTGTTTGCATGGAAAGTAGCTAGTTTTAAACTTTGTTTAATATTCTTTATTGCTTTTTGTTATATTTTTCGGCATAAATGTAACATGGGAGTGAAACAAATTTCATTTTTTGACAATTAAATTTATATACTAGGGTTTTTTTTTATTAGAAATTTGGTCGTTGCTGGTCATTTTGGTCAACCTACCCTCGCCGGATTGGTCTGTCAGACGCCTTTCTACTTAATGTCTGTGTTAGGTTATTATTGACATTTTATGCTGAAGAAGCGAATGAAAATTATAAGAAGCAAAAACGCTTCTATGAGGCCGAAACAATGAGGATAGGCAGATTAAAATGAATAAAAACGACCAAGCACCAGGTTTATAAATGCGAGTCTGTTGACACCACCCCGAAGACCACATCGAAAATCTCGCAATTTTTGTTTTTCTTAGGCTATAAACTATACATGTAATAGTTTAATACATTCATAAAATATATAAGTAAATATTTTTTAAATAGTTTTACCTTTTCTGTTACATTTTTCTTCCGTTCTTTTCGCTAAACTGAAGTTTTGATATAAAATCACTTTTGAAATATTCAAATTTCATTTTAAAGCCCTGCAATTCCTTCGATTTCTCACCCTGCTTAACCTAACTGTGTTAGTTAAATGAAAAATAAGTTGAAAAAGAGCAATAAATCGAAATTCAAAATTTGCCAATTTTGAACAATTTTTAAACTTCCAAGCAGACTACCAATAAGACTGAATATATTTGGTACCTACCTCGTTGAACAAAATTAGGTGTTTTTACACGATTTTTCCTCTAGATTCTGAAAAGTTAAATATTTATATATTATACAGGGTGCTGCCTCACTATAAAACAACATTCAAACATTGCAGTATATCAATATATTTTTTTCCATGAAGTTCGCTGGTCCGCTTATCTCGGGCTTCTCATTAATTTATATATTCCCAAGTTCCTCCAAGTTGAGTTTAAGCTACCTCCGATGGTTGATTGATTTTGAAATAAAAATTAGTAAAAATCTTAAGGCAAAATTTTAATATCTAGAAAAAAATCTAATTTGACTGTAGATTTTTTAAAGTTTTAACTCAAATTTCTTTACAAAAATCGTTTTTAGCTAAGCATTCGTTTTTAAATTTAGTTAAAATTATAAATATAATATCAGGTATTGTTTGTATAGTTATATCCATTGTGATATTCTTGATGTATGAAGCATATGATATGACGTATGATGAAGCAAGCAAAATTTCCTTTTCTGACTGAAAAAATCGGCAAAAACCAAATTCCATTGGGAAAGTTTTACAGATTTAAATTTTAAAATATGTTTCGTCTGCTCTAATTCCATCAGCCTTGTGTATCACATTCTAATACTTTTCAAGTTCTCCTTTCACTCTGAATAAAGAACTGCACTATTTCCAACGACTAAAACAATATTTTTCGAAACTGAAAACTAAAAAACCATTTTCGACTCAGGTGATGGAAGTTTTATAGAAATGTGGAGTTAGATACTTTGAGATTTTTTATAATTACTATAATTGCTCTGTTGTAATTATAATAACTGATTTTTTTTAAGTTGTCAAAATTTTATCTTTTGCTTAAATAATTATACATAAATAAGTTTATTATTTGTACCGCAATATGTACAATAATAATTTTTTGGTGTACGAACGAAAAAAGAAGAATGTGTACATGAAACGTGTTGCAAGATCTATGATGTCGCAATTTAACTCGCCTACTAGTCAAACGGCCTTTCGCAATTTATTTAATTTTCAATTTATACGCATGTTGATTCTTTAAAAGTGGATTGACAAGTACGAATAAAATTCTGCTGAAATCAACCGATTATTTTTTTAACACAATCTGTGTATTTGGAAAGTAGTTTACGATTTGTTGACTAATTATGTTAATTTGAAATTAATTCATAATTATTTCTTACGGTATAATGAAAGTTCTATTAAAATTACTTCTTTTTTTTTTAATTGAACCGGTGGGCGCTAAAACAAATTTCTTAATTGCATAAGGAAATCGTAATGATCGGTTTACAAGCACTCTTTTATGACTTTTTATAATTATACCGGTTTGAAATTTTCTAAGCATTTCCCCCTTTCGGTCCTCAGACGTATAATTAAATTGGCGATTACTCCACCTCGACAAAATAAAGTATAATCGGTTTTTTTTAACGACGGACTTTGGAGGACGCTTGAGAGGCGAGGGTTGTGTAAAATTGGGTTAAGCGTATCGCATGCACCTGAGAACTTTTCCCCGCCGTCTGAGGGCCGGTCCCGTCTAGTCTGGAAAGGTGAGATCACCTCGGTGATATAAGGGTGAACCGGTTCGATTGCGTAAAGGTGAGAACGTTTTACTCGCGGGGATCTGGAACTGTAATTTTTTTCCTCGTTTGCCTTTTTAATCTTGACTTATTCTCATCTGGACATTTTTTTAAAAATATTTATCTATTGATTGATTTATTTGCAGAGATGCGTGCACTGTTGGCTGTGGCCGGAGTCGCCCTCCTCTACGTGGCTGTTTGGGCCGCCGAAACGAAGGACGCTGAAGAAAGGCCTAAAACTTTTACCAGGCTCATCCCAGCTGATGTCCTCAGAGGTAAAACATCTTTAACAGTTAAATAAAAAAATGTTTCCAAATATATTATTTATTTAAAAAACAATTTATAATTAAAAATAATAGTTGGCGTTAACTACTTAAGGTCTTCAACAAAATCCTGCCTCTGCCTGACATTTTAAACTATGTCGCGTAAAATCACGATGCATCCTTTATAAAAAATGCATAAAATCCTTTAGTGCATATTTTCTACATCAGCATACTTCAAACAGTATAAAACTTTCCCAAAAACTAGGGCACAAGTCATATCCAGCAGAACTGGTCTGCTCAATCTCGCTGATCAATTCTGCTATTTGACCAACAGTTTTTCTTTGTTGAAATTTTTATTAGAATTGTTTAATTTTACAGCCATAAGGATTTGACGTATGCCAGATTTTAATTTTATGGCTTTTAGAGAATATCAACTTAACCGATATTTTGAAGTTGTTTTCTTAACATTTCCAGAACAAATTAGCAATTTTTCCCAAAAAGCGGCCGGACAGGAGGTCATTATTGGATAATCGTGAGAAAACCATCATGCCACAGGGGAAATCCGGGATCGCGTGACGAAGTCGTTCAACTTGGGACGATTTTCTCTATAGGAGAGAATTGCGGTTTGACATTGGATTTTTAGAGGTCCACCCACTCACTCCTTTTGTGAAGATGAAAGGGCGAAGGTTGGCCAGTTCCCGATTCGGTTGGTAGGCCAAGCGATCACCTTCCAGTTTTCAGTTGCACAAGACAACTCACATCTAATAAACCGAGGCTGTAACAGCCTTTGTCCCCTTTAAGGTGTCTCTTTTTTTTTATTAATCTAACAGAAAAAAAGCAAGGTCGTAATTCATTTCTAAAGATATTTGGACGAGGGAAACTGGCCTTTAGAAAATCTGGACCGGTCCGCCCTCGGATTTTCATTAGCATGCCGTCTCACCTAATTCTATTACCGTCGACTTGACTCTCTATACCTTTTTTGTTTCTTTCACGAGTCCCTTGTGCCAAAACCAATCCTTGCGTAACTCAGCCGATGATGATAAGAAAAAGGCATGAACAATCTCTCAACTTCCATAGATTTGGGGACAGTTACGTACTTGAACATACAAGCTTGCCTGGAGAAAAATTCAAATAAAAAAATAAACTACACAAACTTCATGTGTCCGACCTCGGCACTTTTTCACTAAGTTATGCAGCCTTCAGTCATAACAGATTACCATCCCACATGGCACATGTACTAAATCAAGCTGACGGACCAGAAAACTGCTGTTGCGATGTTGTCTATCGCCGATGCTGATCATGTCCTTTTAGTACCTTTTCAGGAAAAGAGATTAATTGTACGAAGTCATGGTCCAACAAGGGGTACCGTTGCCCACAAAAAATGTCTATAATATTAACGAAAACGTCAAATTTACAATTACTACAGAATGTCCTATAATACTGACGTCCCTTTATAAAAGAAAAAAATAATTAAATAATTACTTTAAAAGGATAACTACATATATGCATTATACTTCTAATATGTTACAAAAATCTAATACAAACATAATTAAGTGTGATATTTAATGACCGTTATGCAATGATTATTTGGAGATCGTGAGATGCGGTCTGGTGTGACGTAAGTTTTAGAAAAACATTTTCTTTATCGTGCCAACGTTTCGATCTTTATTGAGATTATCATCAGGGCTCAAAGTGTTTGTTTTCCGTGTAGATGTGTCATTCTTGTCACAGTGGACTCTCAAGAACGACAGACAAGAACACATCTACATGGATAACAAACACTTTGAGCTCTGAAGATGATCTCATTAAAGATCGAAACGTCGCACGATAAAGAAAATGTTTTTGTAAAACTACGTCACGATCTCCAAATAAACATAATTAAGTTACGCAGAATATTTATTGTTGTTGTTAATGTATCAATTTATAACTATTTATTTCTAAATTTTTATATATATTTACATATAAAATAAATTTTGTTTTAATATATTAAATAAAAATTAAGCACAAGCGAAAATCAATATAAAAAAATAGAAAATGGTCTGAAGAAGATATGAACAGTACAATAACAAATCTTCTAGCATTATAAATTAATATCTTAAAGCAGCAACAAAATAATAAACAGCAGGATAATGAAACTTGGTTGGAAGATAAAAAATTATAATCTTGTGCCACAGGTTTAGGCATTGATAATATAAACTTATTGTCAAAGTCAAAAGAATTGGCCTGGAGATATCATTAACATTTAAAAATTTTCAACTAAGCCTTTAAAAATCATTTTTAAAAAATCTGGATTAAATATAAACTAAAAATTAAAACCCCCCTATTTTTTCAACATTAAAAAAAAATATTTACATAAATAATTTTTCATATTTCTACTTAAAATATAATTGCATTTATTATTTTTGTTTACAGATTTCCCTGGTATGTGTTTTGCATCGACTAAGTGTGCAACAATCGAACCAGGCCACACCTGGGACTTGTCTCCCTTCTGCGGTCGTTCGACCTGCGTCAAATCCGAAAAGGACGGCAAGTTGTTGGAACTTGTCGAAGACTGCGGGCCTCTCCCCAAGAGCAACCCGAAATGCAAGCTCTCCGAGAAGACAAACAAGACGGCTCCTTTCCCCGCTTGTTGCCCGACCTTCGATTGCGAACCCGGTGTCAAATTAGAATACCCAGAAATCCCAACTCCTCCACCAGCAGCAGCTAAGGCTTAAGCTTCCTGTGATACACCTACCAACTCTTTCTCATATGTAATATCCTTTGTTATTCCATTAATACAAAATTTGTTTTTACATTGACTTGAAAATTTTACAGTCAATTTTATAGTCTTTTTTGTGCTACTGAAAATTCCTTTATTTATGTATATGTTTACTTTTTCTTTTTTTTCTTTTTTTTTAGTTGTGATTTAAGGGTTTATTTAAATTTTGTCATATTTTTTATCTTGTCAAAACACAATGAGATGCACTTATAAACGGAAAGCCTGAATAAATGTTATTAATAATTTTTTGTAAATTATTTGGACCTAAGGTAATGTCAAAAATTGTGTATACTGAATTTATTGTAAATTTTTTGACTAAATAAACAAACTATAAATCTCAAATACAATTTGTTTTGTTCATCATTGATGTTCGAAAAAATGAATCAACTTTTTTCCCCAAAATTGTCGGTTCATCATAACAAGAAAAATATCTGCTAAAAGTCACACAGCACTACAAAATACTCGTCATGTACTTGTGGAGCCTCGGGCATCAACGGCTGAAGGCCCCCTCCCAACGTTGGAAGTACTCAGTAGTTCTCTTTGGTTCGAGACGCTGAAAGAAAGGAAACCTTTGTCGCAAATCCATTTCAAACAGAAAATCATTCTTTTTTTTATATGCCATTACAGTGGTGAGCCTTTTAAGTCATTATTTTTCATGCATATTTTTTCATTAAATCTTTTTTTTTGTGCTTAAGTGTGTGAAAAGATCTTTTCTTGTGTCCTCTTTTTCTAATTGGTTATTTGATTTACCCAAACTACTGCGTTATTACACAAATTTACTTTGATTGAATTGGGTTTGAAGACAATTGGAAGTGAACCACGTTATTATCCTAGAACTAAACTTCCAATGTACAGTGGGTATCTAAAAGTATGTTTTCATCAAGCCCCTTCACCTGAAGCATTTATCCAATTAAACCCTTTTTTTCCCCTCCTTGAGGCAGATATCCCAGGGCTCATATGAAAAATCTGAGCCAAAATATTATATTTTATTGCCTATCATGTTCCTTAATTCTAATAAATTGCATATGTAATATGCAATTAATAATTAATTAGTAATTATTTAATAAAATATTTTTTGAAAACATAAAAAAATGACCAAATCAAATAGTTGGAACGTGTTTCTCATCATTAATATCTTCAGTGATTTAAAGTCATTAATCATCTTTGGTCAAACCAACAGCATTATCATGATAGTATATCATACATCATGATGTTTCATGTTCTGGCATGGTTAAAACCTTACTAAAAAAATTTTAAATAACCTATTTTTTTTTTAAAATGTAAAGGTTGAATGTCAGTGGAAAAAGTTATTAGAAATTATGCAGAGCTTATTACAATTATAAATATATTTATTAAACTATATCCCCTAAATTAAATTTCATGTTAGACCCCAATAAATAAGATATAAACTGGGATATTAACAGGTTACAATTATGTTGTTTCTTGCCTTTTTTTCTGTTTTTAATAAAAAGGAACTAAACAGCCATTACAAAATTCTGATGCATTATCTCTTAAAATATATACAAATATCTAAAACAATAAATAATTTTTTTTTCTTTAAACATAATTATAACATTACATATATATATAACTTAGTATTTCACACTTCACCAATTTTTTGTATAAAATATTTACATGAGAAAATATAAATTTGTCTTTGCCATTGAACAATATTGGCATTATAATAATGAAACGTATATTTTTTTCTTTTTTTGATTGAAATATTGACGTATGAGGCTCGGTACTTCAAGTCTTGAAACGATCTGTGAATATTTTATCTCTGTGTTCCTGGCTAAGAATGGGGCTGAGAACAGCTGATAACTCTTTAATTCTGCGTTTAAACCTCCCTGAGTCTCTCCCTAGCATTTCCCAATCTCCTTTCCTGGCCGCCCGGTGGGCATAATCCCAGACGATTATTTTCCTTACGCTAGGTTTCCCTTCTGCAAATCTAACCTGGAAAATAATAAACAGAGAAAGATATTTAGTTCGGCAAAAAAACTGAGAACTGTCATATAGACAAATGTCTTGCTGTAACAACATTTAAGTATAATATAAAATAGAACTCTCCTACAAGTACACAATATATTTAAAATTTCACTTCATTTCTTCTATCAGTAAAAATAAAAATTGATTTGAAACATTTTAAAACTACACGAATTTTCAGAGGATATGCAATATCAAAATCAAGGCTGCAGCATGTATGTATACCCAGCACTAATCTAAAGCTGGGTTTCCACTGTGTGAAACTCACTCGCGCAACTGTTCTGCGAAATTGTGGATACCTAGCCGAGACTGCAAAACTTTTTGTGCGCATCAAAGAGTTTTGCGTTGTTTGTTTCTCTCCATGTAAACGCACTTGTCTCCAGAATGAAAATGAGCCATGAGGACTACATCTGAATTACTCGAATGTATCACAGCTACCGATGTTTGTAGGATGGTAAACATAAAACTCATCATATCAGGAACAATATCATCCTCATGCATGAAAGTAAATGTGATCAAAATGGAACAAAGAAAAAAAGTACAACAATAAGTATCGCCATGATAGCAAACGGTGTTGCAGTAGTTGGTGCAGTTACAAACGGCATGCTTCTCTCGCACAAACAGATAGCTCACCTTGTTTCGTGTCTAGGTTGTGAAATGTTTTGCCTCGTGGAAATGGTTAACCCGAGACAGTGTTTTGCAAGTGATTCTCATGTTTAGTTGCACGAGTGATTTTTTCTGTAATGGGAACCCAGCTTCACAAAGTTTCTAATATGTCTAACAAACTTTTGAAAGAGTTCATGAAGGAAGCACAAAACAGCCTAAATAAAAAGAAAAATTACATGGGCAAAAGATAAAATTCAACTAGTGATTTATTGGTCTGGTGCAAAAATAATGCACGTTTAGAAAAGGCAGTCAAAACTATCTTTAATTTGTATAAAATAAAGAAAATTTATTTGAAATATTTTTCATCACAATCTATACATCTTTGCCAAGTGTAATAAGAGCTTTTATTCCACTGACATAAAAATCTATTTTTTGACTCACAATAATCTCTTGGAAGTTTTCGGCTTCACCACATCCTCTAAAAATTTTATCCCTCAAGAAATGATCAAAATGCCTAAAAAATTGGAAGTCCGAGAGGTCGGGTGAATATGGAGGGTGCGGTAAGGTTTTATATCCTATCCTAAGTGTGGCCTGGCGTTATCGTGAAGAAGAATCAGCCCCTTATGGTTTACCACTGTTGGACAGAAATGTTGCAGTTTCCCGTGCATTTTGTCAATTTCTTGGCAATATTTCTCTGCTGTGATAGTTTCACCATTATTCAGAAAATTGTAGTGAACAACCCCAGCAGTACACAACCAAACAATCACTATAACCTTTTTGACTGCAGATTTGGTCTCAAAAAGTGTTTTGGTCATCCTTTTCCACCCACTAATCTGTACACCTCCTGTTATCGTACAAAATCCATTTCTCATCGCACATGATGATTCGATCGAGAAATGGATCATTATGTGGCACAACAGAAGAAGAAGGCCTTCGGTTAGATCGTGCGGTACCCACTTGTCAAGCTTCTTTACTTTATCAATTAGTCCCAGATGGTGAACGGTTGAGCGGTCAACACTGAGCTCTTCCACACTTTCTCGTGTTGTTTTATGTGAATTTTCTTCAATCAATGTTTTGAGTTGGTTGTCATCCACCAACAGAAGGCCTACTGCGACTTTCCTCCTTCGAGATCAAAATCTCCAAGACAAAATATCTGAAACCATCGCTGCACCGTGCATTCACTAATGATTCTCTCCTCCCAAACTGTATTAATGTCATGTGCAGTTTGGGCCACACTTCGCCCAAGTTTAAATTTGTACAAATAAATTTGAATCTAGTTTGGACATATTTAATTTTGCAGATTGTTACTCTTATAAAATTCAATATAAACTTAAAAAATTTCAATTAATTATGTTTTTATGTAAGATCTTGGTTGAGATGAAAAAGCTAATGTTACGAGAGGGATTCACCTTTGGCTGTGGGTTTGAATCCCACTCGTGACACTAGCTTTTTCATCTCAACCAAGACCTTATATAAAAAGAATAATTAATTGAAAGAAGTATAATTTGGTCAATTAGACCAATAAACATAAATGGATTAATAAACTAAAATGTTTTGCACAAAAGATGACAAATTATTTATGATTATCCATAAAGTAGATGTTTTGATTTGGCTTTGTTTATATGAGAAGTGCCTACAAAAATAAAACAAATTTTCCAAACTTGCGTTAATTTTGCAGCAACCCAAATAAGGACTAATCTTAGAGGTTTCTAATATATCTAATAGACATTTCAAAGAATTCTTGAAGGAAGCAAAAAAACAGTCTAAATAAAAAGAAAACAAAATATATGGGCAAAAGATAGAATTCAACCAGTGATTTAAATAACTTTGGAGACATTAGTTAATCATCAATAAGAGAATATCTTGGAGACAATATCAGGGAATATCTTAGGGAATTTTTCTCAGCGTGTAGGAAAAGATAGGTTGGAATTAAGAAGATTTGTATGACCTGAAAAATTAAGACTAATACTGTTTGTGCCTGGGACAATAGACTGTATGATGATGAAATTAAATTTAAAATCCGAAATCCGGGAACCACATGAAATTTTATCACTAGACAATCAATTTAATAAAATATTCAATCCATTCACCAGGGCAGTTCAACAACAACTGAACTGGTCTGAATAAAAGACTAAAATCTTCTGTTTTCACCAAGATGTTTGATTCTATTCTTGCTGAAGCCCTAAGCATGGCTTTTCGATCATATTTTAACTCAATCAGCATTAAAATATGCTGATACCTTCTTAATGGGTAGATCCACTAGTACCAATTTATTTCATTATGATGATTTTCTTGTTAATTCCTTTGAGAATCGAAATAGAGTTCACGCTGTATATACAAATTTGTCTAAAGCCTTCGATAGAGTTAATATAGATATTCTTCTGTTTAAGTTGAAAATCCTTGGAGTAGGTGATCCTTTGTTATCCTAAATCAAATCATTTCTATCTAGTCGTTCTTTCTCTGTTCTCATTAATAACTCAGCATCAGAAAAGATTTCATCATTTTCTGGTGAACCTCAGGGTTCTTACTCTGGGCCATATTATTTCTTGTTTATTTCAATGATGTCTGTAGAAATTCAAGGATTGTAAGTTTTCTTTATTGACAGATGATAAGAAAAATTTTAACTCCTTGTTTTCTGCTCTCGATTGTGTTAGTT